GTTGATAAGCAGTACATGGTTTCCTCACTGCTGAGCAGCCCTGACCCAGTGGGAGCCAGCTCCTCCCAGGGTCATGCTCACGTTCTGCTCCATTTCAGGTAGGGAATAGGACCAGGAGGCTCTGCCTGAGGGGGACTTTGTACCGGTTATTGAATAAAGCTGTAACTGAGTTTCATTGTTACACTGTGTGTTCTTGTTTCTCTTGGCACAACCTGCAGCCCTGGGGGTTTTCAGTCCGAGTGTCTTCTGCTGCATGCGGCAAACTTTCCCCAGGGCAGGGAGAGGACTGGGCACCCCTGCACCAGAATTATGTGGTTGGCGACCTTGTGGCCCTGGCAGAAGGCTGTCCAAGGGCATTGGAGAGCTGGCCTCTGCCAAAATGCAACTAGAAATGTCCAGAATGGAAACAATAACATGTTTGCAGCAGCACAGGCAAGAACCACCTCCCAGCAGCTAGCAATAAGAGCCACCTGCTGTCCCTAGAGCAGTGCTTGCTCTTCACTGGTATGTTGCACAAACATGACACAGCTAACCACTGTCACGGCACAAGAGGACAGAGCAGTTTGGGCAGCTGGGAGATGTCTGTTGACGCATCCACCCTACAGCTGGGCACAGAGAAGTGACATCCAGTAGCCTGTCATGGAACACAACTGGTTCTTCACCTGCTGCTTACCAGGCCCAACTTCTACTGCCACTGTCAGATGTCACCATAACCTATGGAGAGCTCCCTGGGGTCTGGACTGTCTGAGACCTTGGGGAAGGTCATTGCAGAAATAAGACGGTGTTCTCATGAATTGCGAACAGGATGGAAAGTGGGGATTGAGAAAAACTGGCCAGTTTTATCAATGAAAAAGTAGTGGCAGTTTACTGTAGTGGTAGAAAGGGATTAAATGAGCAAAACCAGAAGTCTAATTCTATAGGAGACAGGAGACCATCAAACCCGCCCCCTGGACACAGTGTGAAGTTCAGCACTGCTGGATGCAAAGCACCATGAGAGGAGCCATGTAGGTGCAGCACTTGGGATCTAATGCCAGCTGACTGCGCCCAGGAGTGGTCCAGTCACCAGAAATACAGCCTTAAAGAAAGGAAGCACAATATTTAAATAACAGTGAAATGAGTTAGAGGAAATTATCCCACAGCAGGGACTGGTTCAAGTGCTGTTCATGATGATGTGGACAAAGAGAGCTCCAAGCTCTAGACTGCTCCTGGACCAGGAGCCCAGGTTAGTGTGGAGATAAGACTTTAGCAATTTGGAAGAAGAGTGATTTAGCAGAGAGTGCAGTTGTGTGGCTCACAGACAGAAGCAAGGCAAGATCTGTAGTGATGGTTGGAAAGGTTTAGTTGTAAGATAACTGGGAAAAGTAGACTTTGTTTTTATTAAGAAAATGCTTTACTGTTAAAAAGGCAAAAAAATCAGAGGCGAATACAAGGTGAATAATTAGTTTATAAAGGGACCGAGTGTTTGGGTGCCATGAGCTATGCCTGAGCTTAAGACAGCCTTTGGTGGGCTTGTATCCTGATCCCTACTGGCTGCTCGAGTGTCAGCTGGGGGCTGCAGGGCATAAATGTGAATTCCCACCCCTCATGGGCAGCCCAGAGGTTGGAGTAAGACCTTGAAAATTGGTGGAATTTCCTTGAGCTTTCCCTGCCCTTGGGAACTGGGTTGCCCAACGGAAGGGGCAGGCAAATGGAGCCACAGCAATTTCCTGTGCTCACCCTTCGGCTGAATTCCCAGATGCTCAAAACCTTGGGACAAATTCATTCAGTGGCGTGTCCAGCCCAAGATCACAGATTTCAGTATTGGTGGCTCCTTCAGCAGTACAGGGTGAATCTGGCTTAGCTCAGCTCCAGGTTACGGATGGTAAAATGCAACTCACAGACATGGGCTGAGGTTTCTGCATGGGGGCTGCAGGGCCTGAAGTGCTGGGGGATGGTGGGGGTGGAGGGGAGAGTTCTGGGAGGGTACCCAGAAATCCATGGACCGAGTGCTCTGCTGCCCCCAGCCCTGGGACCAAGCCGCAGCCAGCCCCTGACCCTCAGAGCTGGACATGTTCCTTGACAGAAGATGTTATAGATACATATATTATTGGCTTTTTTCAAATATTAAAATGAATGTTATATGTATAATATTGGAAAACTTTGCTGTATTGATACAGTTTCTTTTATTTCTCTTATTGATAAAAATCGTGATATAATATATATATATATATATATTAAGCTGTAGCATGGTATTAAAATAAAGACTGGTTTTGTTCATATAACCCAGAGACTGAAAAGATAGTCATAAACCCTCCTTGCATTCTTAAATTATCTTATCCAAATGAAGACAGCGGTGACCAGAGCTCCAAGGGAGGAATTTATTGAACTTCTGTTATCGTGGAGTGTGAGACTCAACGGAGCCAAGAAGATTGATCTGTTGGTGAGGCGGGAGTTGAAGCTAAACAAAAGAACATCTAAAACTTAAGAGGAATGTTTCAATCATACATAAGCATTTATGAATATGCAAGAGATTTCTCTTTTTAAGAGACAATCCTTTGTTAGTAAGGTGTGTTCCTGGCTGAATGCTGAGGCATTCAGCCGTATTTGTTCGTTTTCCTTTGTCTCCTAATTGTCTTCCTATTAAACTTCTTAAATTTTATATTAAAAAAAATGTGAACCTCATTTTTCACAAAGGGATGGAGTCAAACTCCTGGTGCCAGAAGATGCTGTGAGGAGAAACAGCTGAAGACTGAAAATTGGAAAGCTCAAGATTGATGTTGGGATTTTTCCTTTTTTTTTTAAGGCTGAAGGATAGGGGACTGTGGGATGATCATCCCACAGTGGGGTGGGATGTCCATCCTGGAGGAGTTCAGGGTGGAGCAACAGCAAAGCTGTGTCAGTCACTGAGGAGGACCAGGACTGGGGCCATCAGGGGCTCCTGCTCCTCCAAGCAACAATTGTTTGGTCTAAACTCGTGAAACAGCAGGTGGCTGTGCCTCACTTTGCCTGAAGCCTTAGTCCTCCCCACCAGATCAGATGGTGCATTTCTGCTGCCCTGGCCAGTGGGCACAGAGGGCTCCACAGCCCCTCCTATGGCCTGAGCTATCATGCTTTTGTTGTCTGAGCACTATGCTTTTGCATCCTACATCCCCAAGAACCACAGTGGGGCGGCACCAGCACTTCCAAGAGCAAATTAATCATCTCCCAGACATTATCAACCACTCACAAAACAGCACTGCTGAGGTCAGTGCAGGTTCAGGGGAGTTCTGAACCTGCATCATAAGGCCCAAAAGCTCTGTTGAACCTGAGTGTGTTTCACACTAGGTGATTACGATTGACCAGAAGCTTTCACGTTTCAGCACAAACAGAACAGGATGTGCAGCTGCAGCAGGGCGAGTATCTGCGAGTTTACACTGCGAGGGCACAGCAGGAAATCATGGGGGGACACAGAGGGGCTCAGTTGGGCCATGAGTTCAGAAGCTGCTGAGAGCAAATACTGAGGAACTTCCTCAGGGCTGGATTGCAGGGAAGGGGGTACATGTGTACATCAGAGGGTTCTGACCTCAGGCAGCAAGGGTGGGGGACTGGGCAGTGGTGGGGTGGGGCGAGGGTGGATGGTGCTGGCTGAGACAAGGAGTGTTTGCTTTGAAAGGTGAATGGTACACACTCACAGTTTGGGCAATTAATGTCCCATAACAGCAGCAGATGATAGGGCTGGGGATGGAGATGGAACAGAGCTGGGGCTGCTCCCACTCATAACCCAGGCCAAGCACAGACAGGCTGGGCAGTGCTGGTGTGGGGCAGAGCTGGTGTGGAGCAGTGTTGGGTGTGAGGCTGTGCTGGTATGGGTCAGTGTTGGATGCAGCACTATGTTGGGCAGGTCCATGAGCATCACACCTCCCCACCTCTGCCCATCACATCCAACACCATGCACCTGCTGAAGGCTCTGGTGTTGCTACAACTGAGGAGGCACCCTAGGACACTCCCCCTTCACTGAGACCACCCTGGGGATGGTGCCTGTCCAGCCTCAACCTACGAATCCTATCATCTATGCTCCCACTTGCAAATGCTATCCATTGATCCCACTTGTGCACCCATAAAACCCATGTGATGCCCAAAGTGCTTTGAGTGCTCTCAGGGATTTTGCTGGCCCTGGTGCCCAGGGCACCCCAGGGCCCTGAAGGGACTCAGCTGGGTGACCTGTGATTGAGTGAAAAGGAGAAACCCTCTCTAGTGTGTGTACATGGAAGCGACAGCAACTGCAGTCCCATCACCTCGCAGCCCTTCAATGCAGCACTGCCAGGAGCAACCCCAGTACCAGGACCTGAACACCAGCACCCACCCTTAGAACAGGGCCAAGGGCAAGCCAACAGGATCTGGCAAGGGCAGGAATTGCCACCCTGGGTGCTCTGAGGCCCCTCCATGGAAGGGAGGGCAGAGCTGGCCAATGGCTACCTGAGCATGAGAGCATCCAAACAATGGTGACAGCGGTAAGGGGCAGGTAAATGGAGTTCACTTCTCCTGAAGGCAGGAAGGGGTTAGGTCAGGGGAGGAGAGGGGCTCAACCTAGGACAGTTCTGGGTCACACATAGCTCTGGTGGCAGCTCTCCATGGTCAGAAACTGAAAAGGTGTTCCTGCAGCTGCTCAATCTCCATGGGGACCAGCAGCTTGGGACGCTGGGATGGGTGCCCCACATTCTGGGGATATGGGTCTGGGATGGCAGCACTCAGGAAGTCAGCCTGGCTGGGGGCTATCCACCATGAGGCTGTGGATGCCATGTCCTGGGGAGTTCCCCACACATGTTCTGTGGCAGTGATGGGACAATGGTTTCTTTGAAGTGCTCCCTGGGGAACAGCCAGCCAGGCTCAGCCAGAGCCCAGAGCCCTGATCTGGACCATGTTAGCACCACCCTCCAACAATGCCCTGTCTTGGACACAGGGTGGGGAATCCTGACCCAAGAACCAAGTCCCTTCCAGACAGCAGCAGCATGGGCCAAGCCCTTTGGGACTGAACCCCAAGGATGGGGAATCTGCCCAGCCAGGAGAAGCCACTCAGCATTCCAGCAGCATCTACTGACACCTCGTGATCTCCACTGCCCACTCAGGCAGCCGGGTGCCCAGCTGTGAGCTCATCCAATACCCCATGTACCTGTTTCCAGGCTGGTGGGAATGCTGAGCCTTTTCTCCTTTCCCCACAGCCCCCAGTGGCTTCCAGGCCCTGGCCCTCTGTGACTTCCCCTCCAGGGTGGGGGTAGCCACTGCCCTGAGGATTGGGTGTAGATGATAAATGCAAAAAGCAAGCAGGGAACACAGCCTGTATGAAACTAAGTCACACAAGCTTCTCACTTTGGCCTGAGAAAGCATGAGGAAAAATCCAAACAATCCTTGGAGAAAGACAACAATCTTTGCAGGTGTTGTTTAGGATCCTTGTTGTTTACTTGCAAGAAACAGTCAAGGGGTGGTGTTCCACTTGACCAATGATAATGATGTGTAAGTTTAATGACCAATGAGAGTTTTACCTCTTGGACCTGCCTATAAAAGAAGAACAAAGATAATAAAACTTGCTCTCTTAGACAACGCAGCTAAGAGAGTCTGTGTCATACTTCTTGCCGTTCCTAATATAGTGTGACAATCGGGGAGCAGCCGTGCATCCTCTCTGAGTAGGTCTCTGCACTCCTGACCAGTGTCCAGCCTGTGAGGCCATGGTGGTGGCACCAATCCTGTGTCTCTTCCCCCCCATCCTGCAGCCTCAGCCACTCAGGATGGCTCATGTCTCTTCCCCAAAGGGATAGGGAGTGGTGGCTGGTGGCATCCAAGGTTTTTGGCAAGGAGTGCCACATCCCCAGGAGTTGTGTGGCTAAGATCAATCATGGATATATGTTGCTAAAGGACACGGAATGATTCACATGGGCACAACTCAACAGTATGACAGGAAAAGAAGTAACTTTATTTTCTCACTCCAGTATTTATAGATTCTTGACAATGACCAGGGATTGGATAAGTTACCACACTCCCAATCACACTGGCCATGTGAAACGTCTGTCAAAGACGTTTCTTAGAAGGAATATGTAAACACTTATGTTTATAGTTACTTTCCTGGGAAAGTAACTAAAACTATGAAAACAAGACCAGAAGTTTAATTTTCAGGGCAACAGATATGTGCTGAGAAAAATCTGTCCAAAGGAGGGCCCCAAGGAACATGGCTCCACCACAGAACCTGTCCAACCCTGAGGCCAGATTCTTGCCACTGCTGCAGGGTGTCCTGCCCTGAGCAGTGGCTGGGGCTTGGGGAGATGGCATGGCATGCTGGAGTGTCCCGAGGACACTGGGTGCTGGAGTGTCCCTGGAAGCCAGGAGAGGCTCTGCCAGTGCCCACCGTCTGCACAGGTGGCGGTACAAGGGCATCAGCCAGCAGAAGGAGCAGCTGCTCCATCCAGGCAACCACAGTAGATCCTTCCTGATACAGGAGAGCTAGACCAGGCCAGGTGAGTGCCCTCAGACCCATCTCCATTACTGTCCCAGTCCTCCCCAGTAAGGTACCAAGGAGTAAAAGGGAATGATCTTCCCTTGCCACATGTAATGGCAATGGCCCTGCCTACAGGGCTGCTTCCTGCTGTTGCTGCTCCCCACTCTGTGCTGAGCCCCTTCTGTGGGGCCTCAAAAGAGCAAACCACTATCAGGCTCCTGAAGCTTTGGGTTACGCAGAGAAGTGACAAGACTCAGCCTGCAAAAAGAAACAGGGCCCCATCACACCAAGGGGATCACACCTGTGAGGAGATCCTACCGGATGCCACTGTGCAGGTGACTTGTGGCACCAATGCCACCTGATGTACCAGCCATTCCCTATCACCTACATTGTTTTGAAGGTGCTCATGGCATGGGGCTGGCACAGAAGTGCTTGCAGGCACAAAGCCCAAGGGGATAAAGGTGATGCCTGCTGCTTCTGTAGGATGGTTGAACCCCTGCAGTGTGTGTGAGTGCATCAGGCAGTGGGGCTGAGCACGACAGGGGCCTGGGACAACTCAGCCAAGTGCCCTTTGCCTGTGCCTGCCAGGCTGCTATTTGGTGTGCTGTGGTGATTGCACTGCCTGGGCCTCAGTGACTCACTGCTGCATCCACTGGCTGGACAATTGATATCTTTACATCTCACCCCAGCTCACCTTCCCCAGCCTGCACAACTTGGTGGACCACTACTGCTGGTAATGGCCCACCAGCCCCCTGGCACCCTGAGCAGTGTGTGGGGAGATGTTCCATGCCCTGAAAGGATGGAGGGGGAAAAGGTGGCAGCTGGTCACCCCCTGCCCAGGTGCACCCAGGTTGGGGGCCAAGGGGTGAACCCCGTTGATGCTGTTGGGTCCCTGCCCAGAGTTCAGCGAGGGGCTCTGCTGCCCCCTCAGCAAGCCCTGCTCCATGGAAGGGCCAAGGGTGGCCCCAGCCCCCACAGCACTCACTGTCATCAAGAAGCCATTGCTCCACTGGGACAAGACTGGGAGGTGGGGGCAGCTGGGACAGGGGCTGGGGCTCCCCCACCTGACCCTCAAGGAGATGTAGGCTGCCTGCTGACTGCCCTATCTGCTCTCAGGCAGCTCCTTCCTGTTCTTGGAGACCACATCCCCACTGGAGGACTCCCATCAGGCAGGGCCTGCGGGCAGCCATCAGCTCTTACCTGATTGTCTCAGAGACTGACACCCCCAAGCTGGACCCCACAGGAAAGGTGGTGAAGAACAGCAAGAACAACTGAGAATAGGGCCCCACTTGGCCACAGCTCTGTGGTGGACACCCATCCCCCAGCTCAGCCTTCTGCTTTCAGCCACAGTCTTTGTTGCTGCTGGGGCCCATTGCCTGGAACTTGGGGCAACCAAGACCAATGTGGAGCCAGGCAAGCAGCGATGCTGGAGGAGGCAGCTGCCTGAGGGTCTGTCCTTCCCTCACTGGACATTTTGGGAAAGGATGCATGAGCACCCTGGGCCTCACCCAACACCCAAGGGGGGAGGAGGCAGAGGCTGTACAGGGGAGCCCTGCCTGCCCCACATGCTACAATGGGACCCCTGGCATCTGTACTTCCACAGCAGCAGAGAGAGGATGGAAATGTTCAACAAACCAAATCTTGGACCAGGTGGAGGAACAGCCCAACCTCATTGGACCTCCCAAGTTCAAGCACAACTGTTTTAGTGGCCAGGGTGCAGGCCTGCAAGCAGCAGCCATGGACCCTCAGACTGCTCTCATCCCCATAATTCACCACTCTGCTTGCTGGGACCAGCAGCCGGGGGGAACCAACCCCTGACTGTGCCCAAAACAGCTGATTTTAAAACCTTTTAATGCATGGATTGTAAATTTCATAAATCAGGATCCTGCTGGACATGCAGGAATAACCACCTGTAGTGTCTCAATTAAAAGGCACTTCGTTCACAGCTAAGGCTTGGTGAACATACTGTGACTTGCCCATGGAACTGATTTCACTGCCACAACCTGGGGGGATTTGTTCCTGCCATAGCCCTCGGCCCCAGCTGGAGTGAGCAGGCAGCCACTGGCTGTGGTCTTCAGACAACTCTCTTTGGGCAAATTCATGAGCCCAGTAGGTTTAAAAGTGTAATTTGACATGCACAACTGCTGTTCTAGTAACAATGGGGAAAGAAATGGGTCTGTGCCAGAAATAAATTATTCAGAGAAGTAGAATGCAAATACTCGTGTACAACCCTATCCCAGCTACACGGCAGGGCTAAGGGGCCTGAACAGCAGCAGAAAGGCCTCAGAACAGCCACACTTCCAAGCCTCTACTTTCAACAGGCTCTTATCAGCAAAGCTAGACCTTCCTCTGCAGCCAGAGGTGGTGCAGAAGCAATTTTGTTACTTGGCACTATCCCATTCTTCCCTCTCTGCACCCTGAGGCCAGTGAAGCAAGACCTCCTCTAAGCCAAAAGGTGAAGGTCTCCTGCTTGGATATGCTCCAATTCCTTCCTCATTTTCCTGACTGATGAGCTCAATCTTGCAACCTACTGAAACAGAGAAATTAAGAATTAGGAAAATTAGGAAATTCAGAATTAGGAATCAAGCATCAAGAAATGCTTTGACTAAAAGGGGGGTGGGGTGGGGCCTGATAAAACCGTATGAAATGCTTACTGTTCCCACAAGAACAGGGAGAGAGCAAGGCTACAAGGTGAGATAAAGAGCTAGAATGTGCAAACAGGATGCAAGGACAAAGGCACTACAGGATAAGGGGGTTCTTTGGACCCCTAAGCTGGGAGAAATGGTATCAAAATCTGAAAGATGGTTAAAGGACTAAAAGGAGCATGTGCAAGGTGAAAAGTTCAGCTGAGAGGAAGATTGCTGACTTCAGCCCCAAAGACCCCCAGACGACCCTCAGAGTGACCAACAATGAACAGTTCGCAGTTGCAAAGAGGCATGGAGCTAATTTTAATATGAAGCAGGAGCAGGTGGCGTTAAGAAATGAATATGTATTAGGTGCTTTGTGTAGCCCTAGTTTGTAGAGAATAAAAAGAGAGGGGCAAGTCTCCAAGGGGGTGCATGTTTTTGGAGGAGATATCCTGTTGCATTCCAGAGCAGCAGGATCAGGTACAGGAAGGCTACAGCAACCAGCGACCATCATGAGACTCCAGCGAGATGGGCTTCTGCTCCGACAACCATTTATTCAGCACACGAACGAACTCAGATCCAGAGACAGAGAGCCTCGAACAGAGGCAGGGTGATGGGTTTTGAGGGACAGAACCAGAGAGGAATTTAAGGTCAAGGACCACTAGGAACCCAGCAAGAGAGAAAGCCCAGGGGCTCAAACACAATCAGAACACCCTGGGCTGATGCCCCACGAGGTCTGGGGTAGGGTAACTCTTCCTAGGCTCACAGGGCACATGCCCTGAGACAGAGGAATGGAATTCACTCTTTCCAGGCTTTAAAGCCACACATCTCACTTTAACAATGCTTATCTGAAACTAAATCTTTGTCTCCCTGGGCGGGTGGCACCTCGCAAACTGGCCCTTTTGAAAATTAAATTTTGATTAGAAGCTTAGAATGTTTCCAAAACTTACACCATAAAAAACCCAAACCCCCCACAAAGCACCCATCTTGCTTTGTGGGACACCAAGAACACAAGCACCCAACAACAAAGTACATTAAGCAAACAAGCACAAAGAAATTAGAAAAAACCACTTAGATCTCAGACAACAGCTGAATTAAGCAGTGGTGATAATTAATAAAAACATAAATGATTTTTAGTTCAGTCTCTTCTAGCTCTTGATTTTCTTTTAGGAAGGGTGCAGTTCGCTGATCTCCTCTTACGAGGGGCAGAGTTTTTAGTGTTCAACCTCGGCTCCTGTTCTGAAGATACAGGCGTCACCGCTTTAGGGGGTGATGATCCCGGAGGGGCTGTTACCCACGATGGAAAAGGCACAGCCCCCAGAGGTGGAGCCGCTGGAGAAAGGGGTGGGACCAGAGGAGGAGCGAGTTACCGGGGGGAAGAGAAGGCTTAAGGACCACAAAGGAAGGAGAAAGGCAGGAAAAAGGGATCTCAGACAGCATTGCCAGTGTCATCTTGGGAAGGGGGGAGGGTCTGGGACAGCATGATATTTTCATTTTCCCAGACAGGGAACGGGGAATATGGAAAGACAGGGGGTGAAGGAGGACACGGAACAGCGGGCAGACAGCAGCAGACCTGCATCACTCTGGATGTTCTCCGTCCCTTGCCTGCCTTCAGGAAAACAGGGGATGGGATGGCAGAACGACACAGGGTAATGGGGAGTCAGCAGTAGCCCCGAGACATCTTGGCATTTTTCACCCTTTGTCCTGCCCTTAGGAACAGAGGAAAGGGGAAGATATGGGGAGGTATACACTAAAAAGCTTCACAGAAGCCAAAAAACAGTTCACAGAAAGAACCATACTATCCATACTCATCCATATTGTTAATATTGTTTATGAAAGTCTTTCCCATGTGTAAAAAAATATAAAACCATCCATAATACGTCTCATTGGGTGATGTAAGATGTTTGTCCCAGTGTCTGGTCTCTCGGCCCCCTACACCTCTGTAAGCTCTTTTCCCCCCATGCCTCTGAAGCATTCTCAATGTGGCCCTGCTGCCAGGGCTCTCGAGTCCTCCTTTCTAAGGCGGGAGTCTCGCCGGCTCTCAAACCATCAGCCGGGGATTTACGGAGTGTCCATAGAGCCGGTCTTGCTGTTCTCCTGGTGCCTCACTGGATGCCTGCATTCTCCACCATTTGTTGTGTTCTGGGGCAGCAGGATCATGTCCAGGCAAGCTGCAGTTACCAGTGGCTGACATGAGACTCCAGCAAGGTGGGCTTTTGCTCAGGAAACCCTTTATTCAACACACGAACAAACTCAGCTTAAATCCAGAGATGGTGAGCCCCAGAGGCAGGGTGATGTCTTCGTGGGACAGAACCAGGGTGGAGTTTAAGGTCAGGGTCTAATAGGAGCACAGCAAGAGAGAAACCCCAGGGGCTCAAACCCCATCAGAACTCTCTGGACTGACACCCCACGAGGGGTCTGGGGTGGAGCAGCTCTTCCTGGGCCTCACAGGGCACATCCCCTGAGGCAGAGGAATGGAATTCACTCTTTCCAGGATTTAAAGCCACGCCCCTCAGTTTAACAATGCTTATCTGAAACTAAATCTTTGTCTCCCTGGGTGGGGAGCACCTCACAATTTCCCCATGCACCTCAGCGCTGAATACATGCCTACTCATAACTTACTCTTGTGGGTTATAGAGTTTTCTTTCTGCATATCACTACCATCACTTTCTCATTTCCTTCTCCACCCAGAGTTTTACAGACCAGCTCAGCCTCAGCCTCCAGCCCCCCGGCCTCAGCACAGAATAGGCTGGGGTTTGTTCCAGGCCTTGTCCTGCTGTTGTCATGCTTGGGGTCCCAAGGCAACTCAGAGGAGTTTTGCATCCTTTAGTTTTGTTATTGACCCACATTGTGTGAACCAACATGGCTCTTGGATTCCTCCCTCCATCACCAACCTACACCCAGGTTGTTGGATGCATTAACATAAAGGTCCACAGTCAAGAGCCTGCTGCTCTGGCATTTGTAACTTGGAGCCAGGTAAAATGGGACAGATGTGGTTGTAAAGGCTGTTCAAACCCTTCCCCATCACCAGCAGCCTCTGAGCCTTCCAACTTCCCTATTCCAAAAATCTTGTCCTGGGCATACGCACTCATGCTGGGAAATGTTTTCCCAGGGCACTGCCAGGCCTATTCCCTGCCTCTCATGGTTGAATGCTGCAGCCTCTGAACACCACGGGAACAAAGAAGATTTTAACTGGCAGCTGAAGCAAAGAACGGGCTCAACAGCTCCCAAGAGCAGCAGTGCTCTGCCAGCCAGAGGAGAGCAGAGAAGAGTGCTGACCATGGGGCTACTCTCCCAGGCAGTGCAGGACAGGGACAATGAAGGCTCTGGAGGGACAGAACAAGCCCCAGCGAGAATCACAAGTGCTGGGGCAGGGGAGGATCCATCAGCTACCCCAGCCATCCCAGTATGGGCAGCTGTGAAGACACAGCAGGTCTTCCCCAATGCTGTTCCAGGTGCCCAGGATCCTTACAGGGAAAGGAGCTTCCCAGCTGCTCCCCAGTGTTCAGGGCACCTTGTGATTATGACTCTTGGCCACTTTGGCTAGATCAGGCACACAGTGGACAGCACAGACCTCCCCAAGAAATGTGTCACCACTTCCTCTGGAGTGACAAGTGCTTCATGTTACAAACTCGTCCCAGGAGATGG